AAATTTAATAAGTTATTAATAATAACTTTTAATCGGATAAATAAAATCGCCATCAACAAATACGTAATAAGATCCTTACAAATTTTATGCGTCTCAGATATAAGTGATACAGCAATCAAAATACTAAAGGATTCGATACAAATATTTAAAATATAGATTTTTTAAAAATACGATAACAAAAATATTGGATTGTCCGGAAAATTCGTGCTGACTAATCTATATAATTTAATAAATGTATACTAATGTATGTAAAATTTAAATTTTCTGCGTTTCAATTTTCCTTCAATATCGGTACGAACTTTCCGGACGACTCAATAGGATATTTTAATTTTCTTGTTGCTAAATTTTAAGTATGTCATTATTAAATTTAAAAATTATGAAATTATGAAATAATTACAACAAATATTGAAAAAGCAATTGCCTTATATTTTTTTAAACATGTATTAAGACGGAAAAAGATTTGCATTGTATTTACTGAAGGCAAGGAATGTACGCAGTATCCATTATTTTTGTCATAGTTTTACAATTGGGTGGTCTGATGTGTTCGCGTACGTGTCCATTCGCAACGCGTATTTGCCTGGCTTTAAGATACTTCCATCGGTCCAATTTTTCGCAAGAATGTGACACGTAGCAATCTTGGTAACCTCGGGGCTATGCCGCGCAATTTATTGGCCACCGAGTGCAGCTTCGACAATTTATCTTCTCCCTCTGCTCCTTTTTTCTTCCTCGTGATCACGCGTTATCTCTTTCTCTCTCTTTTGTTCCTTTCTCTTTTTCTCTCCCTTTTCCTCTGGCTTTTTCTCTCTTTCTTTTGTCTTTTGCATTCTTTTTTTATACCGTTTCTTCTCTTTCCGTCTCACTCTCTTTTTCTATCTCGACCATCGCTTACGATTGAGTTGAATCAACGTTGGAACGCTACCTCTGCTGTACCTGAACTTCGATATCTCAAACTTTCTGCCTCGATATTTTGCAGTATCGACAGTTATCGGACTACAAACTCAAGTCTTGAATAATTTAAAACATAATATTTTGAAATTCGTTTTACCTAATTTGCTGTTTTAATAATGAAATGATGCGAGATCAATCGTATCGTTCGATTTTAACAATACATTACGTCTGACAAATAATCGTCTAACCTTATTAATATGTCGCGTGGCAACCACATTAATACCGTTAGAAATTTATTCTACAGAATGTAAAATAGCCCTTTCTGTTAAGAAAATATATTTCAGCGAAGCAATAAACAATCTCTTTTACAATTACATTATAATTAGACAATAATATAATTTCAAACAAGAATAAGTATTTTAATATATTTAACAAATATATTCTAATATAGTCAAGTGTCAAAATAATAACGAATGTTCTATATAAAAAAGAGAATTTTTGTCTTTCAAAAATGATTTGCAAAAATCCTCTTTAAATACAGAGAAGAATACGTGAATGATTCTCAATTATATTTATCGATGATTGATTATATGATCGAGAATTGCTCTTAGAATTAAAAAAGTCTTAAAACTCTCAATTTTAAATTGTTCTTGACCGGGAAATAGATAACGAACGAGCGGGCAGAGTCAGAAGATTTTAGGCCGCGCTGAAAGGTACGTTGCGTAGCAAAAAGGAAAGAAAATCGAGATCTGCAGGTGTAACGCCTGCAGCGACCGGGCGATAAAATGCACGCAGGCCCTCGATGCAGGGAGAACGAAGAAACTGTTCGCGATCCCTCAGGCTCGATAAAAAATGCAGTGATCACATTTCGGCAGAGACTTCGGAATCTTCAAACTATCTCACCTTCTTTGATTCTCACCTCTTGATACCTCCAGTCGTCTTTCTCGATCCTTTCTCGATTAACGATACTGCTCGCCATCCCTCGCAGCACTTGTTGTACGTATCGCTTTTAATATTTTTTTCGCGATGCTTTGATATAATCGTTCTCCCCGAAAAATTACCTTCGCTTGAGTGGATCAGCCTTGCGATTCGAGTCAACGAACTTGCCGGCAATATATATAATTTCGCGTCATTTCAAACAACTGCAGACGCTCAATTATTTGAAAAATAATTCTGCTTATTTTTGTTCGAGATTTTGATTAGCGTAACATAGTCGATGCTTTTTCTTTGCAGTTGCTGATAATTGTGAGATCTAATCGGCTTAATTTCGTCGAATTAGTTATTTTCAAGAAACATACTAAAAAAGCCTACTAATTGTAACGACTTGGAACAAAAGTCATACTTATTCGCCGCCGTGCTCGAATTGCGTTTAACAGGTGGTTTGCAAGTAAGTATCACGAGATACTGCAGCTGTGATTCATACTTGTAATTTCTGATGTACGGCATCAACATTCTCTTTAAATTGGTCTTCGTGATCGATATTGGCGTTAAATTGCTCAATGATGCGTTGAAATTGGAACATAGAAGACCAATCAATTTAGAAATTGCATTTTTCAAACAATTATATTTTAAATCTTTCTTTAAATAAAAGAATTTCAGTCTAAAAAGAGTATTAAATATTGAACATTCAAAAATCTAGAAATTATAATTAAATTCCATTATATACATGTGAATGTATAAAGCTTGCGTTGTACTAATTTTCGTATAATTACCGTTATATTAGTAAACACTGTCATAATGTCATAAATATTAATTACATAATACATTTGACAAAATGAATCTTTCACATTCTCTTCATAGCTCTGCCAATACGAGCGCAATCCAGTCCGAGACTCCAGGCGGCTGGTCAAGCTGCGGCAAGTGTCTAGACGACATGAGACTCATGCAAAGATTAGCGATCAGCGGACTGCTGTCCGTGATTCTGATCCTTCTTCTAACCGGAACATTTATAACACGACGCGATCTCGCGAATGTCGTCGATCGAGGCATCGCGCCGGAAGAACGCAACGAACAGTTGAATCCGGCCTGGATACAAGATAATGTGGTTCCAGGACAGGATGAACATGAAATTGAAGATAAAGATAAAGATAAAGATCGACGTGTAGATATCAGACATAAACAATTCGAGCCTTCGGTGGTTGAAACGCCAGCTGTATCTATTCCTGGCATTTACGTTATTAGATCGCCTAATCCACCTTTGGATGATGTGACCAATCAGCGCCGTGAAAAAGTTAAAGAGGTATGAGCGTATCTAATTTGTTTTGCATGCTAGTGTTAAAAAAGAGTAAAAGAACATGCACAGGATTATATTCGAAGAGGTAAGTTTCATAATCAAGTTATTATTAATTTTATATTAAATATATATTTATCTTTTATTATCATGATTTTTTTTTCGTGTATATACATATATACGTATATTTTTTCATGTGTTATAACATTTAACAATGATTCAATCTTTTACCTTTTATTTTGATAAATGTATTTAAAACAAAATATCCATTTCCTGAATTTGAAACGCATATTTAGATCTACATTTTTTGAAAACTCATTTTATTCACGGTAGTTTTTACTGCTGCCACATCGTTTGTCACTGCAGCATCACAGAAATGGCGGAAATTAAAGAGATTCGTAAAAGAAAACCGATGAGCTCTTTGTTCGTTCTGTCACATCAATATTCGCATTTAGATTAGTAGATCACAAGTAGAAAAAATAAAAGAGAATTATTCAAGATGATAAATAAAGATGAATAAAACGATATTTTTTTAAATAATACGTAATTTTATGTAAGTTCTAATTCAACTCACGATTGATAAAGTATTCGAATTATAAATTTATAAATTGCTTTAAAATTCATATATGGAAAGAACAGTACTGTATCTAAAAATTTAGATGGATGCAGAAAATGGAATGGATGGATATCTGAAAATAGATTTTTTAGATCAAAATAATTATGTAGGTGGTTACTAGAGTGTCAAATCTTTTTATAACATTGCTTACCATGCTTGAATTTCCTATATAATTATTTTGATGAGCTAACAAAATTATTTTCAGATATCTAGCTAAATTTTTAGATATTTTAACCAAATAATTTTGTTAAATTAAACCAAATCATTATAATTAAGTGTGAATATTATTTTTGGCTAAAATATTTTCTTCAAATTTGATTAAAGAATAGACAATAATAAGTTAGAAACAAAGGCCGACCTTTTGAATAAATCAACTAACAATAAATAAGAAGAAATGCCAATTATAGTCATAGTTAGAATTGGAATAATAATTTTATAATTTAGTTTAATTATACATTTATTTCGGATATATATAATTACTTTCGGACATCAATACAAAAAACTGAAATAATATTTTCGACTAAGAAATCTCTAATATTTTTCGCAATAGTTCTTTAAATCGATTAAATTTTATTTACAAATAAGATGATTATTATTATTCAGTTTGATTGTGTTGTAAATTTAAAAGTAATTGGTGCGCGCGCGCGCCAATGTGTGTAACCGCGCATGCGTACACACAGTGTATGCTAAAGTAAAATAAATTACATATATAGAATTATTATTCCAATGTCTAACTTTGACTATAGTTAGCGTTTCTCCTTACTCAATTGATTTAAAAAATAGAATTTTAAAAGCCTTCTAAAAGTTGTACAAAATTATATTTTTATAAGAGTACAATATTTACAAAAAAGAAAATTAACTTCATAAATTTCATAAAATAGATGAAGTACAAATAAGTGGAAAAGCATATATATGTTTGCAAGATTTCAATCCTTAGTAGCAAGATTAATCAATCGCGACATACTGAGTTTGTCCCGGAAATGGACAAATGGAACTCAATCAATTAACTCTCGAGCAACCGACAGTTGCTATAAAAAAAAAAAAAAAAAAAAAAAAAATGTGAATGACAGATAACTGTCCAGTAAAGTGTCAAACTGGATTGACCGGCGTATGAATGTGTCATGTTCCATGACATACCTAGTATGACTAAGTTGATTCAATGCAACCCTCTCAATTTAAAGTTTAATCGATTCTTGTCCTTCGTAGTAACATATGACGAGCAGGTGCTCGTCGAAGAGAAGATCCGATCATACTTCGATGGGCAGGTTAATTAATTCGATTGTATTCAGCATCATAAAATTGACATTCCATCTTTTTATCTGAAAACGAACGAGAAAACTGTTATATAATATTTGATATATTAGTATTTTGTCGTTTTATATATTTTTAACAGTATTTTGTAAAATATAAAACTACAGAGGCTAAAAATTAAATATTTTCTCTTGCCTATTTTCAATCGGCGACATCATTTTGCTTGAAACAAAAGATAATATAACGTAATTCTATTAAAACTATAATTAATTAATAATATTATAATATTGATTTTAGAACAAAATTAATTAATTATAATATCAATAATATGTATTAGCACATTTTATAAAATTAAATAATTTTATTAATAAAAATTAGATCGTAAAAAAATAATGCAATTATTTAACCAATAATTTTTCTTGCAGTTGTCATAAAAATGTCTCTATGTAATAAAATAGGTATTTTGATAACAATTGATTGTAAGTTAGTCAGATTATTGTGCGGAGGCAATCATTTGACACAAAGAGATTTACTGGTGAATTGATATAACTCGTCAAAGTATAAAATTTTAATTAAGCGTTTGCAATAAATCTTATGATATGTGTTTTCACATCAAAATTGTTTTTTGTTTTGCAACGTAAATAAAAATCAATAACGTCAAAAAATTGATACGAAACAACAAATTATACAATTATTTACAAACGAAATGTTTTTTATAATTGTGAGAATATTTTACATAATGACGCAACATTCATAATATATAAATTTAATTGTTAACTTTAAAGATGTTTATAACGAGAATATTTTAACACTTATTTATATTTAATTATATAATACAAAGAGTACTCGGAAATATGATAACATGGCATATTATTGTTCAGTGTTCAAATTTTTAAATTAAATCGTTATTATAAAAATATTTTCCGTATAAATTTCATTTAAACTTCAAATTTTATGAATTACATTTCATCTTTTTTCCATATATTTATTAAAATAAAAACCTGAAATAAAACAAGAAAACTAATTGATGTACTAATAAGTGTCGACACATCAATGCTCATTGATTTAATACAATTTACGTTTTGGGTTCATTGCTTTGTGTTTCCTTATCTTTATAGTCAAGAAACACGATGACACTAAATTCATTGCGCAACCTCGTTGATGGCTGTCACGACTGATTTCAGATGAAACGAGGGAAATCGCTACGTCGCTGTTCTTGAATAATTCTGAACCGAGAAACGTGGGTAGCCATCAGGCTAATTATTTTTAGTCGAGCTAATGCAGTAGGCGTGACCACCCATTATCATGCTACGGAGTCGACGCTGATTAAAACGCTCGCGCATTTTTCATGCCCGCACGTTTAAGGCGTATCTCCACTTCATTTAATCGCGCATATCAGAAGATTAAATTTTCACCTTCTCAAACTTGAAATAATTACTGTTCTCAACTATGAAATATTTAAAGAAAAGCAAATTCAATTGTTTAGAGAATATTGTAAAAAGTCAAATATGACAAGCATTTATAGACATTTTTAAACATTTTTAAACTTTTGCTTTATTCACATTTATTTATTGCTTTTATTTATTACTTTTAGAAATTATAATTCCTATGTTATATATATACTATTGAAAGATTTTTAAAAACTTTTTTATAATAATAATTACAAAACGGATAATAAAATAAATGAATATTAAAAGAATGAATATTAAAAGTATCAAGATTTTTAAAAAATATGTAGTATCTTAAGCTTATAAGAAAAAAAGAAATATTTTCTCCAGACACGATATCGAATTTGCTACGATTATTATAGAATCATTGCATTTTTTAATTTTATTTTATAAATTGTACTTTCCTTAATTTTTGTATAAAAAAAATTTAAATATTTTAGATCTTATTATGAATTGACAAAAACATGATCAAAGATCATAATATTTTTAAATTTGTCATATCATGTGATTATTCGTTCAATGCGAACTGTAATAGTACTATTAGTCTAACATTCTTTCGCTGATTCCAGAGCTGCAGGTACTTTGTTATGATAGCGTCTGTAGGATATATTCTCTTCCTCGCGAATTAGCACTTAGAGATCTGGAAATTTCGTAGGAAGATCCAAGAGCAAACGGCGTGAACGGCAGCTGCGGAAGTCCGACAAAGTCGCATTGTCTATCGAGTCGTACAAGTTGGGCACAATGGTGGCGGCTTCCTTTAATGAAAGATGCTAGTTAAGGGAGGCAGGATAGGATAATGATAGAAGTATGGAGTTCGCGAAGCAGGACGAGGCGAAAGGGAGCAGAAGGCGAGAGAGCGAAGGCGCACAAGCTCTTCTGAAGCTACCTTTCATCCGTGGATCTCGCAGAATGGCGCAAGAGAAGAGAAATGGGAATGCCAGTTCCACATTGGCTCCACTTAGCAAAGATTAATTCGCGTTGGTTTGAGAGCTTCTATACGATACGCAACTCGCCTAACAATAATAAACAAAGCTATAACTACTCTAAATCCCGTTGAAGGGTCACAAGCTAACACCGTGAATGTAAGATTTCGAGATCTCTTCTGTCATCTCATTTCGTTTTGTCTTCTCTTTCTTTCTCTATCTTTCTCTTTCTTTCTTTATCTCTCACGCGACTTTTGTATCTACTTCTATGTCAACCCTTCTAGGAGTAGACATATATGTATATCTCGGGTCGTTTGTACCTAAACTCATTGCATTGAGCTGAGTTGTATATGTGCCAAGAGACGCTCGAGATGAGTAGAATTTCCTACAACGTCCTTTACATAGTGGTTCTCATGGTGTCGTTTGCTCTCATACTTCCAACTCGAAGTATATGCAACACGTTGCATGAATATGTATTTATATTTCTTTCTACTATGCGCTTGGTTTCAATTATACAGTAGCACCTTTGTGTATCAAGAAATGCATGTACCTATTCGCAAGACTTTAATTATAGATATCTGATACGTATAATATAAAGAAATGAGAAATTTAGAATGTCAAAAATGTTTCCGATACTGATGAATTATAATAAATAAATTTATTAGTTTAAAAAATACGACTCACAAAGAATGAATGCCTTATAAATTTACAGCTTTCGTCCTAAATTTTACTAATTGTATTTAAATGAGATCCGACAATGCATAATTGAGTGTTCTGATTTCTGATTTGGATTGATTTATGTAAAAAATACAAAGGATAATACGCTTGTACTCGGTTTTGGAATGTGCTATTCATAGCTTTAATGTATGTATAGTAAATTTTATATAGCTCAATAAATGGAAAATTATTAGATATTAAACTTTTTTCATCTGAAAAATCTATTTTTATATCGTTTTATATTATACCAATTAAATGTGTTGAATGATTGAAAATCTATCAGATTTCAGAACATAATGAATTTTTCTTTTATTCAATCTTTTTTTATATATTTATATATTTTTCTCTTATATTTTTTTATTGATTAATTTATTTACCTTTTATTTCTGTTATAATTAATATTAAGTTCCTTCTTGCCTTGATTAACTTTTCCTCAAAAGTACAACGCGTAAAATGCATTCGCTTCTTTATACGCGACTATCATAGTTAGATTTTTGCACGAAGCGTTTTTAAAAGGCTTCATGACGTTGACCATCGTATATGTTCACCATTTCAGGTGAAAAAAGATGTCGCATATACGGGGGCACGCTATTCTCGATGGTGTTAGTTCTAGAAAGCGCACGCGTTTGATGTACATACATACATATATATGCGCGTGAGCGGATGTGTGAGTATGTTGACGGAGGCAGAGGGTTTGGGATACTTTCACAAAATCACGGTGGGACACCGACGCGGCGGGACGACTGGGACGATCGTGGAGGGCAATAAATAACGTAAATTGAAAACCGCGGGAAATAAAGAGAGGAAATAAAAGCGCCACGGTTAAGTACACTTATATGTGCCCGGTATCGGCAATACACCCGTGCACACGTAGATCCAGCACCGCGATGCGCATTTGTGTGCATCCCCCCTAGAGTATCCAAAGCTTTTGCTTTGTTTGTGTACCATGCATACTCAATCGTCTGACGGAGCATCGCCCCACAATCCCTCACCTCCTGTACCTCCTCCATCCTTTCTCCTTCACCTCCTCTCTTTTCCCTTTTCACCAAAGCTGCGCTGCTGCTTTTCCTCCCTTCCAACGTGCATTTTGTTTATTAATGAAAATGCGTGGAGCACAGGCAATTTGAAAGGATATTTTCTCTCTCTCTCTCAAAACGCGAGAGAGCTCCCGTGGGTGCTCTGCAGAATTCATATCGTCGGCGATGCCCCAACCTGCCGCGGTTTGTCTACGCGTGAGTAATGCGCGTAAAATAATGAATTTATCCATAAGCTTGAATTAATTAGAGACAGATTTAAAACACATATGAGTTTCATAATAAATTCTCTCATATTTTGTCAAAATGCTACATCTGAAGAAACAAGAATTACGAACTAAAAAAAAAGATGTCAAATTCCGTGATAACCGTCTTTATTTATTTCCAATTATCGAATACGTTTGACGTTTTAAACGCTAGTTTTAGTAAACATAAATATACCTAAAATACAAGTAAAAATAAATCTTGCATAATTTTCGCTGATTAAAATAGACAGTCTCGCGCGACTGATGCATCGCTTTTTCCGTGTCGGTGCTTACTACCTAACCACGTTAAATGGTTTTAATGGATTACTCTTGGATTACAAAAGCGAAAAAAGAAGAAACGTGGTCTTCGGACGAGTCGGGAAGAGAACCCGGTTACCACGGAAGTGACGTAACAAAGAGAGAATAATTGAACAAGGCCACACGTCCGACACGAGGTTTTGCCTTCTCCTTGTCCGCCTTGCGGATTTTCTCTTCTCCCATGTCGCTCCTCACCATTCCCTTTCGATCCGTCGACCGACACCGAGGCTAATGGTTTAATCCTAACATGGATGTTAACCAGATTACCGGCTACAGGTCCGACATGTGCCGTGCATTCGCCGCGGTTTCTACGGAACAAATTATCCACGATTACATGGATAATAGCGGAAGGCGTTGAACGACGCGACGCGTGATGCCGCCGTCAACCCGTACCGTACGATCGTCCTCTACAATTTTCTGCATCGCCAACCTGCTTTCTAAGCTGACGTAATAACGCGATATCACTGCTTTTCAAGCTCCACGGAATTTTGCATCTTTACTACGACAGCCCACTTCTCAACGTTTCTACCCTCACACAGTTATCGCGAGCTTATCACCCTTTCAATATAGACTGGGAATTTTGATATTATTTTAATAATATAATGCGTGAAATTGGTCAATCAATTTTATATATTATATTATTAAAATAATATCGCAAGTATATTATTATTTCCATTTAATGTGATTATGTATTGCGAAAAGTCGCAAGAAGTACACTACCGTTTATGAATTCAGGAACAGTTAAGATTTTTCTCACAATTTTTGAAAAATTAAATTTAAAAAAGTATTTCAAAAATTTTGGAAAAAAAATGCAAATCGAGAATATTATATTAAAAATTTCCCTTCTTTTTTCCTTTTTCAGTAAATTTTAATTTCGAAATTAAACATCATTTTGTGTAAAAATAAATTTTTACATAAGAAATTCGGTATTATTGCAAAAAATTATTATACCAATTTAAAAGAAAAACTTTGTTAAAGCTTAAAAAGTTTTTAAAACACTTTTTTATTAATTTTTGTTTGATGATGTTTCAACATGCTACAGAGTAAAACAAAAATATCGGAAAAATATTAATTTTCAATTTTATATAATTTAGGAATAAAATATCATAGAAATTAAATGACAAATTTATAGATCTGTCTGTTCTTTAAAATATATATATTTTTGAAAATTCCTCTACGATGTTTTTCACCGAGTATTTAACTTTTCGCAATACAAGAAAATTGCAAGCATCGCCAAATTTATGAACTGCAGTGTAAATCCGATTCACATTTGAAAGTGAATGTAGGTAATTGTAAAATACACGCGTTTCTCTTTAATTCTCATCTCGCAGTTCTTCGTCCTCTTTAATTTTCTCTTTTTTTTTATTACAACCGCAATGAGGAGAGAGAGAGAGAGAGAGGGGGGAGGAA